TCCCATGCTGGTATCCCAGCTATCAGTCTGGGGAGCTAGAGTTCCCCGATGTTCAGGTCAGCTGTTTCTGTGAGTTTCACCAGCCTGGTCTGGACTCCTTTGCTCTTCACTCGTTCTTCTCTGCATCTGGATTCAAGTTCAGTTCAGTGATAGGTTGTGGGTGTCTGCTTCTACTTCCACCAGCTGCTGGATGAGGGCTATCGGGTGGCATATAAGTCAGTCATCAATCTCATTATCAGGGGAGGGCATTTAAGGTAGCCTCTCCTCTGTTGCTTAGATTGTTAGCTGGTGTCATAGAAAAGGAATTTCTTATACAGAAGACTATAATGATTAAATCTATATGGTACTGGCACATTAATATATACTACAGATTTATCAAATATATAAAGAGTATAGAGCACCCTCCAACAAATGGAAAATGAGTTCAGGGAAGCATCTGTAAGCAATAAATAACAACATATTTGTAAATTCATCTCAGCTGTGATAAAAAATATCTTTTTAAAAAAAGAATTACACTGTGCCAGATATGCACAGATTTCCTTTGTGTTGTTGTTATTCGCTGAGGAACACAGGTAACAAGTATTTACTTACATTTACAATGTGCTGCTGGGGATGAGTCTACAAGCCAATGTAAACAAACATTCTATGCAAATATTGAACCAATTTATAAAGGAACTTGAGCAACCAAGGATTTGGCTCTCTTGGGCAAGGGAGTGGCACTCCCGGGACTAATTCCCCATAGATATCAAAAGTAAGTACGTGTAATCGAAGTGTTTTTTCAAATCACTGGGGTCAAAATAGATTTTTTAAGCACCTGGATTAATTGGATAGATATTTAAGAACAGATTCCAATTATAGAAATAAACCCCAACTGGAGTAGAATACTACATACAATAAATAAAACCATCCAAACACCAGAAAAACTCATGGGTGAAGTTGTCTTTAGACACAGAAAGAAAAGATGCTTCTTCTCTGTTAAAAACTAATAAACAAAAAACCTTGAAATTTAGGACAGGGCTGGAGAGATCCAGTGGCCCCTGCAGAGGACCTTTGTGTTTCCCAGTACCCACTCCGCAACTCACAAACCATCCATAACTCCAGTTCCAGTGGATCTGATGCCTCTTCTGACCCTCCACTCCCACCCTGGGCTGGTGAACCCATGGGTGTGTACACAAGATAAATAAATTTAAAATTTTTTTTAAAGAAGAAAAAAATTAAGGACATAAGAAAAATCTGGTAGCAAAGTGGGGGAAAAAACAGGTACAGAGAAGTTTTTTTTTTTAAAGATTAAAATGACCCTCAAAGTTTCAAAAAGATATTCAAACTCACTCATAATTAGAGAAATGTAAAATAAACAGTACTGGCATGTAATTCCTCGCTCAAAATATCAGTATCTATTTAAAGAATACAGCAGCATGTTCTATTGGCAAGGCTGCGTTGGCAGACAGTTTCATACATTGCAGTAGTCAGTCATGCACTGACACCATCCGTGGGGAGGTAAATTTGGCACTACCTACCTTTTGTCCAACAATCTCACTTCTAGGAATTTAGCTTCACAATATCCCTGAAGGGATATGAAAAGTCATATGCATGGGTTTATTCATCCCAGCTTTGTTCCTATCTGCAAAGCTGTAAGAACAATTGAGATGTTCATGCACACAGCAGTGATTGAATTAAGTGGTGAGGCTTGTTATGGGTAGTCTTCTATAACTATTAAAAATGGAGGCACATAGCCAGAGGTGGTGGCACACACCTTTAATCCCAGCACCCAGGAGGCAGAGGCAGGTGGATCTCTGTGAGTCCCAGGAAGGCTTGGTCTATAGAGCTAGTTCCAGGCCAGCCAGGGCTGTTACACAGAGAAACCCTGTCCCCAAAACACAAATAATAATAATAATATTAATAATGAACATAAAAGGGATGAGAACAATCAAAACGAGTTCCGGGACATGATGTTAATTGGGCGGTGGGGCTACAAAGAGTATCAAGGCTGTGCTTCCATGCTTGTAAGGGAAAAGGGAGACATTAGAACAGAAGCATGTGCCTGCCCATTTATGTAAAGAAAATATAAGAATGATAATCCAGACACTGTAACGATAACTCCGCCAGCTGCCTGGGTTCTGCCGCCGCTTTAGGGCCCCCAAATAACACACAGAGTCTTATATTAGTTACAATGCTGCTGGCCAATGACTAGGATTTCTTATTTGCTAGCTCAGTCTTAATTATCAACCATAACTACTAATCTATAGATTTTTATAAGGACTTATCGAGGATGCCAGCCTTATGTGTCCTCTCTTCCTGGGATCCCATGGTGACCCCTCTCTTTCCTACATTTCCCAGAATCCTCCTTCTCTCCTAGTCCCACCTAACTTGCTTTCCTATTGGCCAACAGTGCTTTATATATCAACCAATAAGACAAACATATACACAGAAGGACCTCCCCCATCAAGACACTGAAGAGATGGTTGCAGAGAAGTTGAGTGGGAAAGGCATGGACAGTGAAATGGGAATGTGGTAGAGAACAATGCTCTATTGAAGTTATCTTTGTAGAAAGCTCTGACTATACTCAGGAGGTTTTTTTTTTTTTTTTTTTTTTTTTTTTGGTCTTGCTTTGTTTTTCTCCCAGTTCTGGGAGTTTAACCTAGAGCTTTGCAACATCGAGGCGAATGCTCTACTACTAAGCTACATCCAAGCCCTGTTTCACACAGTCTTCATATAGTCAAATAAATAAAATCAACCATGATGAGTGTGGGGACACAAAAATAGAACAAAAAACACTAACAAATAGAACTGACACTATGTCTAATATAACCACAGTTGTGAGGGAAAAAGAATTAGCAGTCCACAAATGCTTTAATAATCTAGTCAGAAACTGTGATTCTTGTGGGCACACACTGTTAGAAGTGAATGAATACGTGAGTATAGCATAGACCAAGGATGAGAACTATGCTTCTCACTGTTGGAGAAGAAAGTTGCAGTGTCAAAATGTGGAGGGCTAAGGTGAACCCTCTGATGTTCGCTCAGGATCTGAGACATTACTGTGTGTACACAGTATATACGCAGAGAGATGGAGAAGAAAACATAGATGTGTTTTTGTGTGGGATAACCAGATCTCGCTTTCTAAATACTATTTTCCTAGAAAAGCATCTTGGAAAAAAATGACTGATTCTGAGGTCAGAACAGGAAAGATATAAGCTGAATCTGAAATGTCCCATGGTGCCAGACAGAAAAAAGTGCTAAAACATAAATAAATAAAAAGTGAAAATAGGTGGCTGGAGAGATGGCTCCGTGGCTAAGAGCACTATCTTTCCAGAGGACCTGGGTTCAATTCCCAGCACCCACATGGCAGCACACAATTGCCTGTAATTCCAGTTCCAGTGGGATCTGATACCCTCACACAGACCTACATTCAGGTAGAATACCAATGCACATAAAATGAAGAAAAAAAAATAAGGTAAAAAATAAATCATTTTTTAAAAATTAAAAATAGAACAAATTCAAAAGACTCAGGCCCCCACCTAAGGAAACTCCTAATAGCCCTGATTCAAACAGTTTTATCAATGAAATACAATATAGAATGAAATTATTATAAAATAAGTGTAATAGATAATTTATCTGAGTACACAGTAACATCGATTGATCGAATAAACACACGGGGAGAAGCAGCTGCTCTTTCTTATGGAATTCTAATATAAATGCAGAAATGAAGGAAGAAAACTGAGAGTCACCCTTAGGAAAACCTCAGGTGATAGCTGTTGCAGCCTGAGTGCACTGGGAGACACTGGGATGAATAAGCAGATATCCAAGGGGAGATTTCAGTCTCACAGTAGCTCTTCCAGGAGAAGGTAACTCTACAGTAGAGAAATATGCTAAGACCTGGATCAGTCATCAGGCCCATGCTATCCATGTACATGGAAAACCTTGGAAGACAATTTGCTTAGTTCATTGACTATAAAGGATAAATGTTCTCAGAGCAATGCCATTGAACTGGTATTACTGTTTCCTTGGGTTGCCTTCTGTGGGTTTGGTGAAGCTTCCCCAGCCAATGAAGGTGTCTGTTATATGCCTGGGGTGACGTTTCCCTAGCCAATGAGTATGTCTGTAATATGCCTGCTCTCTTTCTTAGACTTCCACTTTAGTGGCTTCTCTGGAGGCAGAGCTTTCTGAAGTTAAGCTGCAGACTCACATTGTGGAACAGGAAAACCTCCTTCTCAAAGATGAACTGGAGAAACTGAAGCAGGTAAGTCTGGGCTTCCCGAGGGGGGTGAAGAACGACATGGCACTTGATGTGTTCCCTGCCACCAAATGCCCTGTGCACTGTGGTTGAGGACTTGAAGTGCACGTGTGTTTAGAAGAACTCTGCTTGCTAATTCTCTACTGAAACAACTTATTTATATGATAGACTCTAAAATTCTGTTACTCTGAATCCCAACCATTCCAGTTTCAAAATTTTGTTCATCTGTTTTCTTTCCACCAGATGAAAAAAAAAAAAACATTAGTTTGTCTCTAAGAGGGTGGCTCATGACTTCCACAACTGTTCTTTAATGTCTGAAGATCCACTGGTATCTTTTCCTTGTGGCAGGTGTGAGTCGCCCGGCTTGGGAGGATAAGCTCTCCAGTGTCTTCAGTTACACTTTCTCACACAAGTTTAACATGTAGAGTTTGCTGTGGTGTTGCCTTCTTGTAATCCCAGCACTCCAGAAACTGAGACAGGAGGATTGAGGGTTCATGGTCAGTACAGGCTACAAGGCGGGGCCTCATCCCCTCCAAAAATTAGTGTGTCTTTTTAGAAGGCTATTTCAGAGTTTCAGACAAAGACTTAATTTTAAACAGAAGAGGGCATACCTCAAAAAAAAAAAAAAAGAAACTACAGATGAAATATTGTCCAGTCCTCTCTATTTTTCTTATGTGTAAGAGGATCTCCATTGTACCAATCTTGTTTTATAATAGAATTTAGTTGTTCCATTCATTTGCCCCACCCTCAGGGTACCTTAATATTTGTACCAGTGGATGATGAAAGGCTCCTTCCTACATCTGTTCACCCTGTAAGCATAAAGTATCCTTCCCTAAATCAGTCTTAACGAGGTTCACACTGCACCTGTACCATTACGTTGTTTGAGCTGATCGCTAATTGACTCCCTATGTAGTAAAAGAGTAAGGCCCTCAAGGCACTTGTGTCTTTGGTAATGCTTCTCTCAGGACTGGCACCAAACAAGTGTCTTATAAGAACTTTCTATGCCAGGCACTATAGTACAGAGTGTATCTTTCCTGCCACAAGTAGAAACTCCATCCCCGTGAGGTGAGAGTAGCCCAGAGCCATTGCTACCAAGTTTGTTGTAATTAACTCCAGTACCCCTTTCCTCCTGTATCTTTGAAAGCATGGCTTGCTCACCCTTTCAGTGATAATGACCAACCCATGTACATACCGTGTGTGATGTATGCCAACCAGTCTATGTGCATACTCAAGGATGTATGCTGTATGGCTTTGCTGAGCTACATAGCACCAGAAAAAGGAGCAGAGTAGGGAGAAAAACATGAGGCACATTTTATTACACGTTCTTCCCAGGGCATTGCTATAAATAGATGGGAAAACCATGAGTCCCTATGTGCACATGGTAGGAAGTTATTTGGTCATGAGGATTCTTCCAGCCCATCCTTGGTGCACTGCAGCTTGGACCCAGAAAGCATATGCCACTCTGTATGACATCATACACCACTCTATATGACATCATATGCCACTCTGTATGACATCATATGCCACTCTGTATGACATCATATGCCACTCTGTATGACATCATAATTTAGAGCTGTGGAAGTGCTTTTATATATGTATTACATATCACACCAATAAGAAGTATTAATAGCATCCAAGGAATCAACATCCCCTGTTAAGTTGGGGAAGTAGTATTACTGAATGCAGTGGTTACAGCCAGAGATGCAGTAAAACACTTTACAGTGGACAGAAAGACCTCTGCAGCAAAGTTTCCATCCCAGAGTGTCACTAGTACCAACATGGACACTGAAAGGAATAAAAGTAGCCTGGATTGCCCCCAGCTCTGTGGAGTGGAGAGAAGGAAGCCAGCATGTCCACTCCGATGGAATACTACTGGGAAGTCATTAGACTTCTCCCAGGGCAAGGGCACATCCTTAATTTGCCCACATGCTGACACTTGTGTGATAAATACCAATGCCCTAGTTTGTTTTTGGTTTTGAAATGAGATCTTGATGTGTAACCCAGGCTTGCTTCAAACTTCCAATCTTCCAGCCTTGGCCTCCTGAGTGCTAGGATTATGGGCACGTACAACCATGCCATGTACTTCTTTTTTTCTTTTCTTTTTGGAGACAGGGTCTCCTAAAGCCTTTGTTGGACTAGAAACAACTGTGTGTAGCCAGGACTGGCCTTGAGCTACTGATCCTCTAGAGCAGTGGTTCTCAACCTTCCTAATACTGAGACCTTTTAATACAGTTCCTCATGTTGTGGTGACCCCAACCATGAAGTTATTTTCATTGCTACTTTGTAACTGTAATTTTGCTACTGTTAGTTGGAGATAGAGGTTTGCCAAAGGGGTTTTGACCCCCAGGTTGAGAACCGCTGCTCTGCATCTATCGACTCTTCCCAGTGCTGGGATTACCATGCTCAGCCAATTCTATGATCCTGGCTGAAATGGTTTGACACACATTTGAATACCTTTTTAAAAGCATGATTAAAAAAAAAATGTAGCATGTGCTCCACAAGCAGAAGTTAAACTGATGGCAGGAGGGCAGTGTGTTATTTAACTGTGATAAAGCTAGGGCCATTATTTAGCAGCATCCGCCTGTATCTCTCTAAGGAGACATTTCAGTAGTCAACTAGGGAACAGTGGGAAGCTAGCTGGGAACAGTTAGTTCCAGTTAATTATAGGCTGCTAGAGTTTATATGTCCCTTGAAATATGTCCAGATAGGAAGGTTTCAGGGCCACGCAAGTGCCCTGTTTACAAATACCCCCTTTTCAAGTTCATAGTATAAACATAGCTGGGAGGTGATGGCAGGGCTCATTTGTTTCATCTCTTTCAGCTGCACAGATGTCCTGATCTCTCTGACTTGCAGCAAAAAATGGCTAGCATTCTAACCTACAACGAACAGCTGCTGAAGGAAAAAGAAGCTCTAAGTGAAGAATTAAACAGCTGTGCTGATAAGGTAGTAAGAACAATAGGCGTTCTCATCATTGTGGAGTGTGTACGGCAGCAAGCATTTCCCTATGGGCTGTGGCCACTGGGCTTCCTGTATTAGACCAAAGTTATAGATGGAGTTATGTGACCCTAGACTTAGTGAAGTCGAGATCATGGCATTGTCTCACTTAATATATCATGATGCTATTTAGCAATAATATATAAAGCACTATGCTACATAATAGAAATATGGCTTTTATCCTCTGAGATCTATTTCATAGACAAACGCTATTTTTTTTCTATTATATTGTCACGAGCCATAGGAAGATGTTACTTTCCTTGCTCCGCCTGCCTCGTAGGCATTCTTTATTTTCCTGTTACAGTACACTCTTGAGATTTCCAATCGCCTTTTGGCCCACTTCCCACCCCAAAATAGGAGACGCTGGGGGGGAAACAGAAAAAGGAAAACCCAACAAGGAAGAGAAGCCTGACATTAAAGTGTACAGAGCCAGGAAAACCCCACCTCGCACACCCTCCCTGGTCTGCTCCTCAAGGTAGACAGGCTGATTCTTGATGGTAGTGGTGGTGGGTCCCCCCCCCCCCCGCCCATCCCCCCCCCCCCAGGCCTGCTCCTCAAGGCAGATAGGCTGGTTCTGGATTTGCTTACAAAAGTCCCCCCCCCCTTCTTCCCTTCCTGAAACAGTTGGCAAAATCAAGCGTTCTAGAGCACAAAATTGCTACAATGAAGCAGGAACAGACGACTTGGGAGCAGCAGAGCGAAAGCTTAAAGGCACAGCTGGTGACGTCCCAGGAAAAGGTGTGTAGACAGCTGGAGCTGCATCTCCATAATTAGTATTGTCTAGTATTTCTAGTATTTTCAGCTTGCACAGAAAGGCCCAGAATATTCCAGGTGAGACGGGCCCAAGTGGCCTCAGACTGATCAATCCCATGGGACCTCTCTTGAGACATCTTTGCAATATGACAAAATAATTTAAACAGTGTATCCGTGTCGAAGCCCATTGGCTCAGAGCCTGCTTACCAGGAAGGTGTAAGGGCAGGACTTAAAGAGAACTGCTTGTTGGTAACAGGACCCGACTTCTTAAGCCAGCACGTGTCCACTTATACTGGAAGTCCTGGATATCTATCTGCCTTTTACAAATTAACATGAATTGAAATGCAATTGAACTCTGCAAATAGAAGTGATTATTTTCAACTAAGAGGTTTTTTTTTTAAAAGCAGCACCTCAGACTCAAATGTAATTTCTCAAGACTCACTGCAGGTGTGGTTAGCAATGGCAGCTGGCCTTCCTCAGTTCTGTCCTCCAGCCCCTGGCAGTCAGTTAGATCACATCAGCAGAACGTGGCTTTATCTTTTCCTTAAGTATAACTTAACGTCCTGTAGCTATATGTAACATCTTGAGTTTCCACTGACTTGCTGGAAAGAGAGAGCCCTGTCATTCTCTTCTTTATTCTTTCCTGGACATTGGAGAGGTGAGACCAGGAATGTTTGTATCACCGTATACAATTGCTCTTACCATGCAGGTTCAGGATTTAGAAGATGTCCTGCAGAATGTAAACCTTCAGATGTCCCGGATTCAATCAGACCTCCAAGTGACTCAGCAGGAGAAGGAAGCTTTAAAACAAGAAGTGATGTCCTTACGAAGACAGCTTCAGAATGCGGGTGACAAGGTTATTTCTTCCTCTTTTTTTGTAATTATGCTAGAAATTATTTTAGTCTATGATTTGATTGGTTTTGCATATATGTATCACGATGTTTTTTGTTTTTTACATAAAGGTATGTTTTTATGTGTTTTTATAGCCACTACCAGGAGCAAACAGTAAAACGTTTCTGTCTGTACCCTTTGTCCCCTCCAGTTGGTAACCCCAGGGACCCACTTTTGTACTTTCTGTACTTTCTGCCACCATAGGTCAGGGATGTTTGCTTCTGAACCTCATATAAATGGAATTATAAGGTGTTTTTTTTTTAGACCAAAGAAGCTAAAGACCATAACTGAGTTGAGTTTTATAATAAAACCAAAGCATTTTCAAAGTTTAAATAAGAGGATGCATGGGAACCTACAAAACCAGCCAAGAAAAACATTAAGAGAAATTAAGCTAGGAACACCCATCTACAGGGGCGGGGGGGGGGGGGGATGAAAAACTACAGAAAAGGAAACCTCTAGCCTAAAACAATGCTGCTGACTTAGAGGGCAAGTCACCACTGCCAAATGGTTTAACCTCTGTGGTAACAGAAAGTCTAGGAAAAGATGCTTAAAAATAGCTGGCTGGCCTTCCTGGGGCTGTTAAAAACACATCTCATTTTAAATATCACAGAGCTGCTAGTGTGTACACACATCATTAATAGCATTCCAAATATCTGGTAGATGTTAAAGTTTTGTTCAAAATAAAAATAGTCCCTAATTCAGTTATTTTTTCTTGTGGTTGATAATACAAAAAAAAAAAAAAAAAAGGTAGTTGCTTCAATTTTAAAAATACATAAAGGCTGGCCTTTTTCTGGAACCTTTTAAATTTTCTTTTCTTTTTCATGTTTGGCTTAAAAGGTAGAAAGCTTACCTAGCTGTGTTACCTTTTTAATTTTTCTGAAGTTATTTTTAGGATTAAAAATTAAAAAGTCACTTCGGTAGCTTAAAGCATACTTCTGAATTCAGGCCTCAGTTACTAGGACAGTATGTGCTTTGGAGTCTAAAAAGGGACATGCTTGCCTGTGGGAAAGCTGGGTGGTATTAGCCTGTGGAAGCATGCAGGTTGCAGTGTCTCTGAGTCCCCTGTCCTGTGTTAATCAAAAGCGAGTTGCCTGGGTTCAAAGAGGGCTTCCCAAGGAGGCAACTTTGATTGTTTTTTTGTTTTTGTTTTGTTTTGTTTTGTTTTTTTTGAGACAGGGTTTCTCTGTATAGCTTTGAAGCCTATCCTGGCACTCGCTCTGTAGACCTGCCTCTGCCTCTGCCTCTGCCTCCCAATTGCTGGGATTAAAGGTGTGTGCCACCAAGGCCGGGCCTAAGGAGGCAACTTTGAAACCACCAAATTCTATACAGTTGAGTCCTTTGAAGACCAGGTCAGAGCCCTTCTGTCAGATTTTCTGTTGAAGTTGACTGGACTATTTTGCCAATGACCACTTTGAACCTTTAAAAAAAAAATCAAAATCCAAGAGTATCATTTTCTTTATATCTGTATCTATATACACATAAGCTTGAAAAACAAAAAAATGTTTGCTAAGGATTGTCATTCGGTAAACAGGAAACCTGTCTCAAGACAGAAGTGATCATCAGTTTGCTAGTAAGTTTTAACTCCGAAATTTTCTCCTAAGGTCTGGATCTCAGAAACAGCTGACCATCTCTCAGGGCTCCATGGCCAGCAGAAAAGGCTCTCCTGGGACAAGCTGGATCATTTCATGGATGAGGAACCACAGCTACTTTGTGAAGAGAGCAAGAGACTCCAGACTGTGGTGCAGAACACCAAAGCAGACCTCACACACTCCCTCGAGAAGGTGACTCAAAAGTCTCACATTGTGGAAAGTGACTGATTAGATGTGAGAACAGCTGTTTAATGTGGTTCAAACAGTTCTTAGGTATAGGCTTGAATATCCTGTGGTGACAGACTTATTTTAAAAATGAATAATTTTTCATTTACTTTTATACAAATTCATCTTTGCTTTTATATAAATACATTTAAACTATTTTCATTTCATATTGGCAGTTCTATACTAAAATAAATCTGTGGCTTTAACCCTCATATTAAAAGTGTAGAGTCATAGAAACTATGACATCCATATATTCCTCATTCGAAATGGTTAGAGTTATTATTATTGGCCCAGATCAATAATATAATAATGAAATGGCAAAATCAGACTCAGATCTTACCCATTTGGCCAACCCTTTATAAGAGAAAACTTGGTGCCCCTTCTTATAGACTCAGCATTTCAAGGTCAGAACAACCTTTTAAAATTTCTGATAGCCACCCAGCTGACCCTTGTTTACCTGTGCTGTTGTCAACCCCTTAAACTTCGTCAGCACCTCTGCTGTGAAATTCTCCCAAGAATCACAAATTTTCCTTTAGAATACCTACTACATGCAGAAATTCTGCTGTACTGAAGCCACTGTGGGAATAGGACAGCCGTAGTACCCACCCTCCTGGAACTTTAGCAGATTAAACACACGGGCAGCAGCAGCTGTCTCAAACAGGGTCAATAGGACTTGCAACTCAGACACCTCTAAAAACCAGAACTGCTGCCCCCATTTGCTCAGTAGTTCCATCACACTCACTCTTGGCTCCTGGAAGCTTGGCTGGCCCCGAATTCTCCTCTAATCTGTCTTGCCCTTACCATGTTGAGTTTGTCAGCTCAACCAGATTTATTTAGAAAGGATGTTTAGAAATAATTTTTAAAAAAGAAAGAAACAAAGGAAAAGTAGGTTTCAAGAATTAAAGAGTCAGGGGGCTGGAGAGATGGCTTAGTGGTTAAGAGCACTGCCTGCTCTTCAGGAGGACCTGGGTTCCATTCCCATTACCCACATGGCAGCTCACAACTATCTGACTCTAGTCCCAGGGGATCTGACACTGATGGCAAAACACCAAATACACATAAAATTAAATAAATAAATAAAATTTTAAAAACAAAATTAAAAAAAATAATTAAAAGTCCATATCTTGCTATTGCCCAGGCTGATTTGAACATTTGAGTTCAAGTGATCCCCTGGTAACTGGAATCAGAACCCTCTACCACCTTGCTCAGCTGAAAAAAAAGTGTTTTTAAAACCATGGAACCCAAGTAGTAAATAAAAGCATTCCTCATTTGCTGTTTGTTTTCCTGGCTAGATGGATATATAAGCATTTCTCCCTCTTACATTGGTTTTTTACTAGGTCCGTCAACTGGAATCCAACCTTCTTCCCATCAAACATCAGAAACAACTCCACCAGTCCTGTACTGTAAAACCCACAGAACAAGAAAAATTGACTTTAAAGAGGGAGTGTGAACAGTCTCAGAAAGAACAATCTCCTACTAGTAGGAAGGTGGGTTTTTCAAATGTAACCACTCAACTGTGTTCTGACTAGTGTGCACCCAGTGTCTGCTTCTCATCATGAGTGGCAGGATTTGAGCCCTCCTCCGATCCTTTGATGCCTTCATAATCTTGTCAAATCATTATCATCAATTTAAGCTTTCAAGAGGAAGATGGTTCTCTCTCTCTCTCTCTCTCTCTCTCTCTCTCTCTCTCTCTCTCTCTCACACACACACACACACACACACACACACACACACACACACACTGCCTTAAAATAATTCATTTTAAATTGTGTGTCTGTGTGTGGGTATGTGCACATGAATGCAGAGGCCAAAAGAGGGTTTGTGGACAGTTACCAGCCACCCAACATGGTTTCTAGGAACCAAACTCAGGTCATCTAGAAGAATAGTATGTGATTCTAATCATTAGTAATCTCTCTAGCCCCTAAAAACTAGGTTTTAAAAGCAGATATGAGGAAAAGGAAGGAAGGAAGGAAGGAAGGAAGGAAGGAAGGAAGGAAGGAAGGAAGGAAAAAAGGAGGGGAGCACTTTTTGAAGGTTTTGTTAAGAAGAATGGGTGACAGAAGTAGACAGCACTACATGGCTATCTACTAATAAGAGGAGAAAGCAGAATAAGTTGTCATGGAATATTTTTTTTACATTGTGTGAAGATGTGTCACTGTGATTAGTTTAATAAGGAGCTGAATGGCCAGTAGCTAGGCAGGAGAAAATAGACAGGACTTCCAGGCACAGAGAGAAACTCAAAATGAATCTAGGTACAACAGAAAATTCCAGCAAAACACTGAAGAAGTCAAACATACGGTACAGAGGAGTGGTAACCAAGCCACGTGGCAGAACATAGACTAATAGTTATAATTAATTTAATTATTATAATATATGTTAATTTAGGTTTTAAGAGCTAGTTGGGGGGAAAAAACTAATTAAGGCCAATCTTTCATAATTTATAATATGTCTCCGTGTCATTATTTGTGAGCTGGTGACTCAAAAGACAGTCTGACTACATTGGGCAACCAACTTGGGCTGTTTAGCATCCCTGTGGAAGAACTTTCCAATGATACCTTTTAACAGGCTGGAAATTATTATAAGTAGGCACTGTGAAGATAAATTTTTCTCTATCCTGTTCTTGTAAAGGTATAGTAAAAAGGCAGTCTTTTAAGTCAATCATTATAATAGACCATCATTTAGGTAATAAAGAAGGCAAGGGAATTCTGGACTGTAAAGATCCCATTGGTTGAATCACTTTATTTATGGCTCTTAAATCTGTTAACATTCTCCATTTTCCAGATTTCTTTCTAATGACAAATATAGGAGAATTCCAAGGACTGGTCAGTTCTTCAATATGTTGAACATATTGTACCTGTACCAGGTGTTCTAGTGCCTGTAATTTTTTTTTATGATGTCAAAAGCCATTGTTTCACCCACACAGGTTTGTCAGTTAACCATTTTAAAGGTAGGGCTGTTGTGTCCTGCTTATGTACGACCTGAATGGTTTTCAACTTTTCTTGATAATACCCTGTAATATTTGTCTCAGAAATATTCTTTATTTTAATGGTTTGTTTCTGAGATTGGAGGAATGTTAATCTGTGTTTTCCATTGCTGCAACAAATCACATCCCCATAAACTCATTGCTATGAACTCATTGCTATGTTAGCCATATATGGTTTTAATTTTCCTATCTGTCTTTCTGGCTCTGTACACTTGACCCATCTTCACTTTGTTTTACCTGAGATGAAATTCCAATCTCTAGAAGTTGAACATTTATGTCCTGAAAAGGCCGATCTGGATGCCAGGATTTTGGTGAAATTATTATTTCATCTGTCCTTGTGTCTAGTAGACCTTAAATTACAATGCCATTTATTCATATTTTTAGCTTTGGTCTTTGATCATTTATAGAAGTTTGCCCAAATACTTGTTTTATAGTCTCTCCTGAAATTTTTGTTTTACTGAAGCTATTTGGGCCTTGATCACATCCAGAGCAGTGTGGTTTTTAACAACAGACATTAAGTCTTTTAATTGCTCTGTGTATGAATTTCTCCAATGATGACAGGGAATGATTGGACCAAATTTGATATTGGGGCCTGCAGGAGGTCCCCCCAAGGTGTTTATGGATGTCAAAGGGTTGCCTTTCCTGTCCTTGTTGATCTGCATTCATTAGTCCAGTGCCAGTCTTTGCCACACCTTCTGCATACTACAGAAAGCTGGGACCTTCTACTTGGATTATCTCTAGGAAAAAAACACTGTTTCTAGGAATGCCTTGCCTACAATTCCTTTTCAGATGACCTTGCTTATGGCAATGAAAACATCTGACATTTTGATTTTTCTTAAGATATTTAGTAATTACTTCTATTCAAGTATCACTGTAAGTATAAGATCCAGTATCAGCTGTATTTCTAATCCATTCATCTTTGGTTTTTGATCCTGCCATTAAAGCCATAGTCATCCTTTTCCATTCTGAATTGTCAGTCTTTTGGGCAGCCAGCTCAGAAATAATGACACAGAGACTTATTATTAATTATGGAAGATTGGCCTTAGCTTAGGCTTTTCCCCTTATAGCTTAGCTCTTATAGCTTGTATTAACCTGTCTCTATTAATCTACATTCTACCATGTGGCCTGGTTACCTCTCCTCTGTACCATATGTCCCGACTTCTTCAGTGTCTCACCGGCATTTCCTGTGTGTCTAGATTCATCCCAAGTTCCTCTCTCTGTCTGGAAGTCCTGCCTATTGTCTCCTGCCTAGTTATTGGCTATTCAGCTCTTTATTAAACCAATTACAGTGGCACATCTTCACATAACCGTAAACAAATATTCTGCAACAGGGAGCTGTGTGATTTTGCAAAGCTTCTCTAAGGGAATTAAGAACCTGGAAAATTCCTTACCTCCCAATTAATGTTTGATAAGTATTTAGAAACAAATGTGCATCTACACTAGAAATAATTTATTTAGAAAACCATAAGGAAAGCTTTTTTTCCCTCTCTCTCTTACTTTTGAAATTAAATGGGTAAGAGCAAAGATAAAATTTCTGAAAACTGATTGTTTATTAAGCATTAAAGAGAGACAAATATTAATAGTCCTAGATTATATAAGTTTGTATGTATAGAAAGCTGGGGTAATGCTAACTTGGGGGGGTGCAGTGGGAAGAACTATATTTTCTTTTCTTTTTTGTTTTGTTTTTTGAGACAGGGTTTCTCTGTGTAGCTTTGGAGCCTATCCTGGCACTCACCCTGGAGACCAGGCTGGCCTCAAACTCACAGAGATCCACCTGCCTCTGCCTCCCAAGTGCTGGGATTAAAGGCGTGCGCCAACAACGCCCAGCGCATTAGAGATCTTTTAACATAAATTTGTCCAAATAAAAGAGAGCAACTCATATGTTTTTGTCTTTTTTTAAAGTGTTGTTTTGTTTTGTATTTGTTTTTATACAGGTCAGTCAGATGAGTTCCCTTGAGAGAGAATTAGAAACAATTCATTTGGAAAATGAAGGTTTGAGGAAGAAACAGGTGAGACTGGATGAGGTAAGTTTGAGTAAATGACCTTAACTGTGGAAAATATCTATGAACCATTTATTAGGAGGGCTAGACATGACATGGAATTCCTGTCATGAAACTATAATTGCCAGGCTTAATTCTTGGATCTGTCTTCCCAAAATGAACAGATGTGTTTGCTTAGTTATAGTCATAGGTGCCTGCACTGCTTTTCAGAATAAAAAATAACTTTATCCCCAAATGTAATGACCAGTATACATCAATAAATGCGTATCACAGGGACTCTGCCTGATACTGTCTGAGGGGCCCCAGCTCTCTTGTCATTGGTGTATATGTAATGGTTCCCTTGACATATCCTATCTTAGAGTGTTTATGATATAATAACTCTCTGTCCACCTGTTCAGATGTATGTGGAGATCTGAGAACATCTGTGTTTAGTTTTCTTTCAGAAGCTGCCATCTTAGGCAGATAGAGCTCAATGGTAGAGTGCTTGCCTTGCATGATGAAGCATTGGGTTGGATTCCCAGTGATCAGAAAGCAAACAGTGTCCAAGGCTTATGGCTATACTTGTACAACTGACAAATGTTAAACTGATTTGGAAAACCCACCACTGTGTCTGTATTGGTCCCTAGGAGCCACAGTGTGTTGTCATGTACTATTAGGGGATATGAGCAAATGTACAGCTCTCAGCATCATTGGGATGCTTTGCTGTAGGTAGATGAACAATTAATCTAACATTAACTGAACTATAAAAACTATATAAGGAAACATCCATAGAATTTGTCTTGATATGTTCTTAAAATACTGTGTGCACACATTTTTGTTTTTCAAGGCAGAATTATAGGAAAGAGGGAAGGAAGATTTTGAAGTACTTTCTATTTATTTATTTATTTATTTATTTATTTATTTATTGCTTTGATTTTTCAGGACAGGGTTTCTCTGTGTAATCCTGGCTGTCCTGGAAATCACTCTTTAGACCAGGCTACCCTCAGACTCAGAGATCTGCCTGCCTCTGCCTCCCAAATGCTCAGATTAAAGGCCTGGCAAAGTATTTCCTTTGCAAAGCTATATATTTGGCAAGGTGGTTTTAATGCTTAGCTTTAAAATAATGTGAAATATGGGCAAACGTATCACATTGACATTTAAATGACCCAGTCTGAGGTTTCTGACAATTGTATGTTCTCTAGTTTATCCTCTAATGGGGGGATTGGTGAAACTATAAACAGTGAAATCCAAACTGTTTTCTGACAGCATATAATAAGTGAGTTCAGCCTGTGCTTTGATGTAGATATGCCTCTCTGATGAAACAATTACCGATTCTAATGAATCTACCTCAAGCTGAGCTTGTGTGTCTGGTAAGAAACTGAAGGATGACAGGGTGTATATACTTACTGCTGGGCTCTGTCCAGTGCTCTACTAGTAAGCTGGTTTTTCACCTCTTCGCCCTGGCCTGGGAAGCCCCCTTCTTCCAGGCCCCAGTTTCTATTATTAGCTGTCATCAGCCATTTCCTGCCATTCTTTTTCCCTGGTAGTAAATATTTGCTGATAAGGAAAGTAAGTGTTCCTGGCACAGGAACTGAATAAGGAAAAAGCATGAATTTAAACACCAAGGAGAACATTTCACACACTCTACTAATGAAACTCTCATTAGGAAGCAAGACTGAGTTATTTATTAGCCTACAGTTACACAGATTGGATCTTTTTTTTTTTTCTTTACTTTTCTGAGACGGGATCTAGTCAGGCTATCCTTGAACTTACAGTCCCTCTGCTTGAGTCTGCTAAGTGCTGGTCCTTCAGACACTCACCACCACAGCTAGTTCCAGATTGGATTTTTAACAGCTCTTTTGAGATAATTCATATGCTATACAGTTCACATACTTAAGTTGTTTAGGTGCGCTTGGAATGTGTTTTTACTTCTTAAACCTTGGGGATATGGATAAACTTTGCAGCTTTACCATTTTTAAGTTTCCAACCCAATGGCTTTAATTAAATTCACTGTTTCTAAAACCTTTCATCATTCCCAACTCTAACCTTTAAGCATTAATTATTCTTCCCACCATCCTGTTGGGTTGGATTGCAGTACAACTGTGTGGAGGTGGTGGACAGTGGCTTTCACGCTGCCTTTGATCACCTGAGGGATTCATGTATTCCTTCCTTGCTGGCAGTATTCCCACTTGGAGGAGTTAAGGTGTGGGGAGCAGACACGGAGGTGTTCCTGTATCAGCATCCTTGGGGACGCTGAGAAAAGCCTTCTAGATGTTTCTTATCTGATACACATACTTCCTCGGGAGAAGTCTCCCCCATCTCTACAGACTAGTTTTAAGGGTCCAGTGTAATTAAAGATTACTCCAGTGTAATTAAAGACTACAAATTACTAGACTGAGAAATGGAAGGATTTTGGCTTGAAACTGACTCCCATTCCTGGACTTTTTCAACAATTCAGTAGTTGAATATTCAGTAAGCACTTTATTTTGAATATTCAAAGAAAGTTCCACAGGCTACCTTTGCAGTCCTTTGCCTGCCTGCCATATCACTTAGCAGTCCACAGTTCAGAGGGTTGAACAAAAATGCTTTTCTCCTGCGTGTCCATACAACAAGGGATTTAACCTCAGATCCGGTGCTTCCTGGATCTGGGTACGGGTAAACCTGTACCCAGGTTCACAACCAACTGATTCCAGCAGAGGAGGGTGCAGTTGCAGAATTACAGCTGTAAGGCCCTTTACTGTAAAACTGGCATGCAGCAGACGGTGACGTCGGTTGCTTGTACTCTTATTCCTTTGCAATGTGCCTGCTCTTTCTTTTTTGTAACTTGCACTTTTCTTACTCTTCCTGTAACGCCTGTAATTTTCTCTTTGTTTTTGTTTTGTCTGTGGCTAATCTCTACCTAGCACTCAGTGGTTGGAAGTAGCAGAGAAGGGTGCAGTTCTGTGCCCGAGCTAGTGTGTGAAGGTAGAACATTTTTCTTCAGCGAACCTTCATAGCATGGGAATGTCCATCCTGTCATTTCTGTTGATTATGACATGTGCTTGGGCAAGAGCCAGTATTCATTTATCATTTCACTTTAATTGGAATATGTCAATTTACTCAAGGATTTCCCTCAGTATTTAAAGCACTATGAAGAACAATATCCCACTGATAGAAACTTGTGGGATCATAATGCATCATATTCTTTATCTGTAAATGTTTTATTTTTACATCTGCAACTAATAATAATATTTCAAAATGGACAGTGACCCACCTCAGATTTAGAGTTAAGAAAATGGATAGTGGCTCTGAAACTTCATAACATTTAATTATAGTTGAGTATAAAGGTCCTTTCCCTTCCCACAAGCTGGGAGGTCTTTCCCCAATTTACTTCTTGCTCATTCGTGTTGCATGCCTCCCATTGGGTGTCTGCTGAATGTGTTGACAGATGAAAAGTCTTGCATGTTCCATTGACTAAAATGCATTCTTTTCAACTTCGTAAATTTGATTGGCATGTTGATACACTGTTTCCTTGTTGTTTTCAACAAATACTTTTATTCCAGTTCTGGGGTGTTCTGGCCTATGACCTTATGCCCCACACAGACCTATCCTGTTGCTATTTAAGGTTATAATAACACATATATAAAACTAAGATAGGTTGAAATAACTTTAGGCACAATATTCTTTTTAAAGTGTTCATTTGGGGTCAGAGGATTTGGAGCCGGTGAGCAGTCACCTTCATGGATTGTAAGCTTAAAGCTTAAAGCTAAGCCACCTTCTCCATCTTCCCTGTTCCTGTCTCACTTTTAACAAAAGGAAAAAAGGCAGCTGGATGTTCTAGAATCCAAAACTTGGATATTATTTATATATCTAAGTTTTGTGTATATTGTGTATCCCGTGCCCTTATAGTTGCTCAGGAGTGATGGTGGTCTGTTCTTTCAAGTTTTAAAAAAATTTTTAAGAAAGCCCGATCACATAATGTGTTATCTCCAGAAAGCTGCGAAAGTTGCTCTTCCCACGAACTTCCATAGGGCTTTGTCGTGTTTCTAAGTGATCAGGGGCTAGGAGGCCATGAAGGGGTTCTGGGCTCAGTGCTCCCTGCTTGGCACCCTCCTTGGCAGAAGGCTCTGTACTGATCAAGCTTTGTCCTTGTCCTTTAGATGCAGCCCCCGAGGTCCACTGTGACGCTTAGCCCGCCCTCTCATTGGGATCTGCAGCTGCTCCAGCAGCAAACCTGTCCGATGGTGCCCAGGGAACAGTTTCTGCAGCTTCAACAGCAGCTGCTGCAGGCGGAACAGAAAAACCAGAACCTGCAGGAGGAGCTTGATAATAGGACCTCTGAAACCAACACGCCACAGGTACAGAGTGCTTCTCCTCCACGGAGAACCAAACCATCCCCTTCACTTTACCTTATTAGAAAAATAAACCAGTCCAAAGGTGGGCACCAGAGCTATGTCTGCCCACTATTGTTGTTCTGCCTACAGAACTACAACCCAACATTGGCTTTGGTTTTGCAGTTTACTTCCAAGCTCCCTGCTTATGAGTCAGGCAGTTGAGCATGCTGGGTCTCCTTTGCACACTGGTACATGACAAAGGACCAAGGTGACTTGTACATAGTACATAGTTGGCTTAACATTCTTGTCTGATGCCCAAAATGTCACAAATTTGGTCCTTGGGTAGGAATCTCTGCTGACAGACATCCTCAGTGTTCCTGCAGTATGGCCTGCCAAGGTCTGTGGGAATCACAGGCAGGGATTTTTATAGCTAAGATGTAGAATGTGCAACCAGTTAGTGCTGTGTGCTTAGTCTAGTTCAACAATGAAAAGCATCAACTTTGAAAAACTACTTAAGCTCCCAATGGTTGTTTTCCCTTTAGGGCTTTATACAGAGTCTTCATTTCTCAGGAATCTCCTCTTTGTTCTTAGCCATCTAATTAAATTGTAGTTAAGGGTGTGAATTAAAAATAAAAAGCTCTTCTTTGTTTATATCTAAGTTGGTTCTTTCTAGTTTAGATATACTCATATCCCAGTTAATCCTTGATAAGGAATTTCCCAGTTTCTTGATTCCCTCAAAAGAGGAAGTCACATTAGCCCTCCCCTGAGCCACCCTGCTTTCTCCTCTTATTAGTGGATAGCTGTGCTGTGCTGTGCTGTCCACTCTGTCTTCTTAACAAAACCTTCAAAAAGTCTTCTTTTATGTGCTTTAAGACTCTGTTTTCAGAAACTTTCCACGTACCACTCCCCCTCCCAATGTTAGAGTCAGCATTATAAATTAAGCCTGCTATGCCGGGCTGTTAAAGAAACATTCCAACTCTCCATGGAGGACTTCAACTTCTCAGTATTAAAGTGAATTTTTTTTTTTTTGTTTTTGTTTTTTTTTCGAGACAGGGTTTCTCTGTGTAGCTTTGGAGCCTATCCTGGCACTCGCTCTGGAGACCAGGCTGGCCTCAAACTCACAGAGATCGGCCTGCCTCTGCCTCCCAAGAAGTGAAATTTTTAAAACAAAACAAAAAAATAAACCTGCTATGGTTGAGTATGAAAGGGAAGCTGCAGTTTTTCATTGTGTAATTGAAATCTGAAACCTTAGCCTCTGGTTTTGAAAAGACCTTGTAGTTATTTGGCAAAGATGTGTTCATTGCCCTCCCATATACACAGGTTTTAAAGTATGCTTTTCATAATCTGCCCATCAATATTAGAGAATTTAAAAACAAATATCTGTGACAATAACTCCAGTATTAGACAAAAACTATTCATAAAAAAAAAAGAAAGAGAAAGAAATCCTTCAGCCAGAGGAAAGAGTAGACCGTTTATTATTGGCAGTGGAATGGCCTCCAGGCTTTCTCCTTTTCCAGTTTCTGAGCTGACTCTAATTTTAATACTGCACATCACACAATCTGCACAGTGCCTGTGTGTGCAGCGAAGGATTTCATCTGGCTTTGTGTTGCTTTGTTGCTTTGCTTGCCATGTAGTGTGACTGCATGTGCCTCTGGGAATGTGTTTGCATTGTTAAGTGTGTGAACTTAGACTCCCCTAGAAATAAGCCATGCTCTGGACACCAGGGTGAAGTATACCCCTTGCCTTCTTTCTCTAGGCCTTGCTACCGGAGCAGCGAGCAGTGCACACAGACTCCTACAGAAGGATTGGGCACCTCTGAAAACTGGGCTGCTATTGATGCCATTTGTTACCATGGCAGTCTCCAATGCACACCCCCACACATGCACACACACACCCCACACACATATGAGCTGGGGGCATGTTGGAATCAAGTGCTCTTTTTTTTTTTTTAAGTGTTGCTTTTTTTTTTTTTTTTTAGATTTTATTTATTTATTATGTATACGACATTCTGCTTCCATGTATATCTGCACACCAGAAGAGGGCACCAGATCTCATAAGGGATGGTTGTGAGCCACCATGTGGTTGCTGGGAATTGAACTCAGGACCTCTGGAAGAGCAGCCAGTGCTCTTAACCTCTGAGCCATCTCTCCAGCCTCCTCAAGTGCTCTTTTAAACTATGCAACTGTCATTTCCACTGTTAAGCCTTCCCAGTATTGTCTCTTATGTATGCAGACATGATGACTGTGAATCAGTCACAAACTTCAGCTTGTTACAAACCAGCTTATTTATATGGTTTAACAAGTGAATTGAAGATTCTTGAAGGGATATATTCTATATATTTTCTCATTCCATATGTTGCAATTATTTTTAAAAGAAGGTACTACTTTTATATATGGAATTTGAAGAAAATCAGGTTTATTTACACTGTTTGTGTAAGATGTATCATACTTTTGACAGAAAAAAAGGAAAATTTTGATGCAACAATAAAATAAAATTTAAATTATGTTGACTGTCTTCTTTGTTTTTCTTCTGCCTTCTCCTTGGCAATACTCAGTGTTCTTTGAATTATCTGATACTGTGGTTTTCTATTTTGCTTTTTTGAAGTAAGCATTATTCACTATGCATAAATGTTAAAAAGCCATTAAACTTTTTAAAGTATAGCCTTATACATCCAAGGCCCTATTTACAGATATTTACTATGTATATTAAGCTTTACCAACTACAAATTTTTGTCTTCAAATTGGCCACATGATTTAGTGGTATTATTTAAATCCAAGCAAATAATGGGTTTCAACTCATGTTTGAGCATCCTACATTCTTTTCAAAATATGCCTTTTAAGGAACATTTGGCTGTCACCCAATTGTTACCATCTGAATCACAATAATAATAATTAGTAATACTAATCTTAAGGGCCTGAAGTATCTTCTGAAATGTGAAATTCCTGGTGTGGGTATTTTTGTATGTGAGGGGATGGACAGTCTCATCTCTTGAGGTCACTTTGCTTCCTAAACTCATGTTCTCTTATCCTATCCTTTTTGTGTGAGGAGAGGAAAGGTCTCTTCCTGTCCTGTGTGGTTATCTGAGTTGGACATCTGAGATTTTCCTCTTCTAATCTGCTCTGATGATGAATGCATCCTCTAGTGAGATGTTTGCTTCACACTGACAAGTAACTGGAAAAAAAGATGAGGAGGGTATCTGGCAGGAAGAAGCTGATTATTATGAAGGAAAAACTAACTTTTGATGGCCACCCAGTCATTTCAAAGGAAAAATCAAAGGCATATGCTGCAAGCTGATTGGAAACATTAGGCAACCCCAAGCAAACCCAGTGTTTGCAGTGTTTAGAGGCCCACAGTATAGCGGGGACACATGGCACAGTGGAAGGTTGGTCACTTGCTTCCATTTACCTTGTATACCCACTGTATTAAGAGTGCACATGGGTATTAATTATGGGTTTAGGAATTTGTATCAGGGGACAGACAGAGGCATGACAGGTAAGAGTCTTTGTTTTTTCTTTGACTCCTCTGTGATGGGGCTACATTTCTAATGTGTTCAACTGGTGCAGTGCCCAGAGCTCTCATTTCATTAGAAATCCATCCTCCCGGTTACAAATGCAAAGCATCGGCTGTGCTTTCTCTAGGTCCTGATGGGGAGAGTAACTACTAGTACCTCAAGTTAAGCATGATTTTCAAATGATTATACCTTTTTTCTCCCTCTGATCCTTAGGGAAGCCAGGAACACCTTGTAAATCTCATGGAAGAACGAATGATAGAAGTTGAACAAAAACTGAAGCTGGTAAAAAGACTTCTTCAAGAGAAAGTGAATCAGCTCAAAGAACAAGTAAGTCTACTTTGTTACCTCTGCCTGTCCTGATAGTTTTTATGGATGTGTAGGGTGTGCGTGCGTGCGTGCGTGCGTGCGTGCGTGCGTGCGTGCGTGCGTGCGTGCGTGCGTGCGTGCGTGCGTGCGTGCGTGCGTGCGTGCGTGCGTGCGTGCGTGCGTGCGTGCGTGCGTGCGTGCGTGCGTGCGTGCGTGCGTGCGTGCGTGCGTGCGTGCGTGCGTGCGTGCGTGCGTGCGTGCGTGCGTGCGTGCGTGCGTGCGTGCGTGCGTGCGTGCGTGCGTGCGTGCGTGCGTGCGTGCGTGCGTGCGTGCGTGCGTGCGTGCGTGCGTGAGTGTGCATGGAGCACATGTGTTCATGTGTGCACATCTGTATCTGTGTATGTATGTGGGTGTGCATGTGTGTGTACAAGCACCACAAACCAACTTCAAGTGTTATTCCTCAGGAGCTATCCTCCTTGTTTTTGAGAGGACCTGGGTCTCTCTGATTAGGATAGTCCTGTGTCCTCCTCAGCACAGGGCTTACCAATGTGCACAATCACTGTACCCAGGCTGTTTATGTGGGTACCAGGGATCAAAGTCCAGCCCCCATACTTGCAAGGCACTCACTTTACTGGCTGAGCTGTCTCTTCAGCCCCAATGTTCCAGACCTAACTCCAGATTTCGTGTCCTTTTTGTTGTTGTTGGGGGTTTTGTTTGTTTGTTTTGCTTTGTTGCTGTTGTTTGCCTTTTGCAACCCTGTATGTCCTAGGACTACCTGTGTAGATCAGGCTGGTCTCGAACTCACAGAGATCCACCTGCCTCTGCCTCCCGAGTGCTGGGATTAAAGACATACACCACCACCCAGCCAGATTTTGTATCCTTCTATTACTGTTAATTTGTGTTGTTAAGAAAAATTAATTCTGCTGATAATGTCTACAGAACTTAGGAATCACTTTCTTTTAAGCTCCAAAATAGGAATTCTGCATTCTACATTTTTTTTTCTAAAACTCCTTTGAGGCCTATTTGTCCACAATTTTATAAATGTATATTTGCTAGCAGCAGCTCATATCCAGTGTTCCTAACGAAGTTCAGTGACTCGAACTAAATACTTACAGATTTTTTATCCAAAATATTAAATACACATCTCTAAATAAACAGAAAGTGATATATTCACCTTTAAAAAGTGGGTAATAATGGAACTTCGGCTTTCCTGTTCCCAGTAGCTTATGGCAACCTCCAAAGGTTGATGAAATGGCTCAGTGGGTAAAGGTGTTTGCCAACATGCCTGACAACCTGAGTTCAGTACCCGCAACCCACACGGTAGCATGAAAGCGCCAGTTCCCAGAAGCGGTCCTCTGACTTCCCTTCCATCAGCCCTTAAACTTGAGAGTGGTTAACACAAATGGAGTAACATGCTTCTGCTTCTGCCCTAGCTCTGCAAGAATACAAAAACAGATGCCATGGTGAAGAATTTGTATGTTGAAAATGCACAGTTGTTGAAAGCTTTGGAAATGACTGAACAGCGCCAGAAAACAGCAGAGAAGAAAAATTACCTCCTAGAGGAGAAGATCGCCAGCCTCAGCACCATTGTCAGGAACTTGGCACCAGCACCACTGGCTTCTACACCTCCTTTGAGGTCATAGCCATACCAAAGGATTCACTTGCATTTGTGCACTGTACTGACATTCATGGAACACTTCCATCCGTTCTCCAAACCTTCTGAAAAAACTCTCAATGGCTTACAGTCAAGCCTCCCTGAAGTCTGCTCTGCCAGCAGTGGAATTGGAGTCTCCAAATGGATGCTTACAGGAATTCCACAAATCTCATATTTCACTATTGAAATTACTCATGACATTAAAGTAACTTTTAACATACTTTTAAAGTATGTTCTGGATAGCTACCAAGAAGGAAAATAATTTAAAGAACTTAAAATCCCAGTTTTTAATGGTTTTTAATTGCTCTTATCTGTATATACAATCCAGATTCCTTTTAAGTTTGGGATCTAACTAGAGTGGTTATTATATTATTATAATCTTTATTTTTGAAAACATGTAAGCACTATAATTATTATGTTTCTAATAGTTTTGAATGAATTGGCTGACTGCAGTTCTGCTTAAAGAAGACTTGGCTAGTAGCTAGCCACTGAGGTCAGAAAGTCCAAGTTTTGTAGAATTCTGGCTTCTGGTACCAGTTCTTGCTGCTCTTGCTATATAATAGATTCAGAGCTGATTTCCTCAACTGCACTCCTTATTAAGGATAAAGTTTTACTTGATTTATACGGCCCTTTCTCCTCTTAAAGCTTTTGTTTGGGACTTTGTGTTCTTAAAAGTGGATAAACCTGCATTTTAAACATTTGAACTTTGGGGAGACCACTGAATAGCCCACTTTGGAGTAAAAAGCCACTCCTGGAAGATTACATGGAGTATCATGGGGATGGTTTCCTCTCTCCCAAGCCTTGGAGTTCATGGACATAGCTTTGAGTTTGCATCAAGAGCTCAGGGAACAATATTGAAACTGTCTTCCTGAACTACTTACTGCCCAGCCTCTCTAAGAACTGGAGGTGTATAAACCACATGACCTTTGTCTTATATATTAACAGCCATAGAATTTTTCTTTCTATATTTTAGTGCACTTAATGATCTAAAAAGGCCTTGACTTTAGAGTTTAAAACCTCTTCAATTTGTAGAAGAGTTTTTACTGTTTGTTTAATGCAGGTCAGGCTTTCCATGCTTCTGACCTTTTGATACCTCACGTCTGAACATATGAATTTCATACTGTGGAGAACATTGGTGTACCCTTGGAGGTGAAGGAGCAATAATGGGACTTTGCATTTGTTCTCAAAGTCTAGGTTTAAAGAACAATAAACCTTTTAGGTAGACACACACACACACACACACACAAACACACAAACACACACGAGTTGGTAGAGGACTTGTCAGGTGCAGGACACTACCAAAGCTCTTCTCAACTACCTTCATGTCTCCATGGGGAGAGAAATTAAAGAGTTTCACTTTATTAGAGGTACAAGAGAAAAGTAAACCATTGATTATGGGCAGGAACTCAGGATGAGTCAAATAGGCTAAGAGGTCAGGTGATATGCGGAAATCTCAAGTCATTTCCATCGAAACTCTTAGGGAATCTTCAGGACCCAGCTGTTTAGTCCTGAAACCCAGGGCCCACTCTACAGGGCTCCGACATGGCATCCTCTCTGTGGTCCAATAGTTCACACTGATTTTGCCCTACTGCTACTATCACAGAACTCTGCTCTCCCATTGGAAAAAGAATCCTTCCCTATAATTATACATCTAAAAATTTGGCATTTGGTATTAACTCTCCTCTAAACCCTTCTCCTCAACTATTTATATGGCCTTAACTTTATTTAGCAGAAAATATTTTCACTTGAAGTTGTGGATAGGACTAGACTAAGGTGAAATGCTTCAGGTCCTCAAGGTCAATGCCACTGAACTAAACAACAAACATGTTTCTCCAGTGTTGGCGTGGCATGGGGCCATGTTTGTTGTGCTTTTTTTAATTTTTTTATTTTTTTATTATGAAAAGTGTAGGTGAGTGTTTCTTATACATTTGTATTTATGTGTACATAAAGTGATGTACAATGACTGTAAATAGGGGGAGGAGGATCAATATGAGAAATACCCTACAGATACCTTAAATTTATACCTTAAATTGTATAGCAGTGTATATTTTAGAAACGCTTTGGAGCAGAAGTTTAGCTGCCACTAGAATAGCTTAAAGCTTAAAAGGCAGCAGATGTAAAATACTAGAATTATGTGCAGTTTACTTTCAGACTGCAGTGGCTCTCCCCAAAATCACAAGTTATGTGTTGTGTGGTCATTCACCTACTTTTCTTTTTTAAAGCATTGGTTTTTAAACTTGATTTTTATTTAAGAACAGTTCTGTAATACTAGTGAGACAATTCTGGACTCACTCAGAAGACCGCCATTGCCCTGTTCACTGTTTTCTGCTTTTGAAAGGCCTTACTTTCCCCCACCAAGGGGAGAAAGGGCTTGTTTTATCTAAAGGCTTTTACTCCTAAAGTCAGGTTTGTAAAGGGAGAGCAATAGGAGATACAGTTTAGAATGAACCTCAGTATTTTCATTTGTTTTTCTAAAACTCTGATTCCAGCTAAGCCATGGTAAATGTGAGTCCCTCCTTGAATCATCCATGTGCTGTTTGTGTATTTGGCCATCAGCATGTTTTATATAAATAGATCATGAAGTCATAGACTTTAGGATATAGGAAGATGTCTTACAGATCTAGTGTTTCAGCAATACCAATATTCAGAATAGGTATTATTTTGAGAAACTAATGACTAAGTCATCCTAGGAAACTTTTTTTTCAACATGTGGAAAATGAATTTGTGGTTTCCCATTTTGCTTTGCTGAGTAAAGAAAAAGAAAACACTCTGCTGTTGTCAGCATCTTTTAAAGGCATCCCAGTCAAGGAGCATCTCTGAGTGCTCTCAAGTACAGTATTAAGCAAGTGCTGTTCTGAACGGATTACCTGCAATTGTATAGGACTCCAATGAGTCATTAAGCAATGCCAGAAGCCAGGTCTAAACCTTGTCACCAAAGCACTCACGCTGGGAAGCCAGCTGTTTAAACACCTCTGCACTGTGAGGACTTGGATCCCAGACGGCTAATTAGTACCAAATTAAAGTTGCCTTTTTGTTTGTTCATTTGCTTGCTTGCTTTTTAGTTTTTTGAACGGAAAAAAAGTAAATTTATTCTCCCTGTGAGAACATTACCACAGCATGATGTAAAGGAATATTAGTTTTATGAAGGAAAACTTGAGTGTATCTAGAGCTCATCTCCAGAATTGTATTAGATAAAGATTAATGTGAATATGTTTATATCAGGTTTGTACATTTCTTTTTAGCCACTTTATCCCAGAAAGATTTTTAATGTGGGCTTAAAATGTAAATAAATAATTTTACAAACTCTGGTTTTCTCTCTTCTTTTTTAAAGATTTTATTTATTATGCATACAATTATCTGCATGAATGCTTGCACACCAGAAGAGGGCACCAGATCTCATTACAGATGGTTGTGAGCCACAATGTGGTTGCTGGGAATTGAACTCAGGACCTCTGGAAGAGCAGAGGTCTTGAGCCATCTTTCCAGCCCCAAACTCTGGTTTTCTATGTCTTGGGGTTTTGATGAGCAGTTTCGATGTTTATCATTAGCCTTTTAAGTAAAACCGTCAAAATGTTGCAGGAAACACAGTCTACAAATAAAGAATCGAGGTCCCACTCTGCATGCTCACAACCATCATTTTAAGAATATTCCCCCAGGGGACTTGAAGAAATGGTTCAGTGGTTAAGAATGTTTGTACTCTTCAGAGGACCCGGATTCAGTCCCCAGCACCTACATCAGACTATTCACAACTACCTGTTACTCCAGTGCCAGGGGATCCAGCGCCCTCTTGTGGCCTCCAGAAGCATCTTCACGCCTGTGGTGCACATAAACTCATTCAGGTATTCATACACATAAATTAAGCAAATCTTTAAAAGACTCCCCTGGGTGATTTGTTGTGAATTAGAGCACAGAGACTCATTCCCTTCCTACCAAGGAAGTGTTGGCATTCATACCAGCCAGCTTGTGGTTTTTGTGTTCTGAAGTAGTGGATAGTTAACACACAATCTTAACTTAGCCTGAGGCAAGGCCCTGCTTAGCATCCTAGATGCTTCAGAGGTGAGCTGTACCATCTTGCCATCTTCTTAGGTAAGTAATTCAGACTTTCTGATGCTCATAACTGATGATAAAAGTGGTATTAGAGACCCCAAAAAGGAAACCTAGAGCACATTGTTAATAACCAAGCACTGCCCAGCATTTGGGAGGCATAGCCCAGTGGATCTCTATGCATTCAAGACCAGCCTGGTCTATAGAGAGAGTTTCAGGACAGCTAAGGCTGTACAGAGAAACCCTATCTTCAGAAAAAACAAAAATTAAAACAAAAAATACCAAACACTGAAATGTAGAGTGGCCAACGTAGACCCATCTCAGAGGCCCTGTTTTATTGTCAAAACTTTTATATCACCTTCATACTCACCGCTTTTATGAGGCAGGAACTACTTATCCCCATTTAACATATGGGGAAAATTGAAGCTTGCAGAATTGAGAGTCAAGGCTATCCTGCCTGCAAATAGAGAAGTCAGTATTCAAGGTCCAAGATAATGCTGTTAAAATCCTGCAATATGAACTGGGCCATGGTGGCACACACCTTTAATCCCAGCACTTGGGAGGCAAAGGCAGGTGAATCTCTGAGTTCACAGCCAGCCTGGTCTACAAGCAGATTCCAGGACATCCTGGACTGGGAAAGCCTGTCTTAAAACAAAAAAACAAACACACAAATAAATCCTACAATACTTCTGTCAGGTCCTACTTGTAACAGAACAGTATTCGATCAGTGTTGATGCAGGAGCTACCATGTAATTGTACTTTAGGAACAATAGAAAACTGTCCTGGGCAGGAGGAATAGCCAAAATGACAGAATAGGAGTTCCCAATATTCCTCCACTAAAGAAGAGTAAAAATAACAAGTATACAGCAATCCACACTGCCACTGTACCCCCACATCTCGCCTGACCACCCTACTCTCAGAGTGGGGAAATATCTTCATGTATATTATAGTCCACTGTCAAACTCACAAAACAAAAATCCCAGGAGCAGACTTATTAGACTAAAGATTTCCAAACAGAAACACAGGACAAGTGAAGAGGCATATTCAAAGCCCTGAAAACAAATAACTACCAAGAAGGCTTCGCTTATCGAGACCATGCTTCAGAAATGAAAAGGAAAGAAAATCCTTTCCAAACACACAACTCCGAGGAGTTCACAACCAGACCAACTGTAGGAAAGATACTGCAAGGAGGCTTCCATCCAGAAGTGAAAGCTAATCACCAACCCAAAAGCCTGGGAAATTTGTAGACAGTGGCAGAGCAGCAGCCTGCCTGGTGGAAACCTAAACAAATGCAGCCATTTTGTCTTTATACTAACATCTAATATGCTAGGCCCTGGGTTCTAGTTCTCAAATAGTTCTCCATTAACTGCTCTTTGACCCTGAAGACTGGTCTCATACCACGGAAAGACAGTAAACATGGTATTGAGAGACTTTCTGACTGTATTCTTCCTAAAAACTGTGGTGAAAATCTGAAAGATGGAGGTTCTGAAATAGAACAGTCAATGGAAGAGAAACTAGGTGATTTCCCTGTTAAAGATCAGTATCACCAGGTCATAGACACTAGATGGTTCCCTGCATATTTGTCTTTGGTCCTCTTCCTGTAATATGGTCCTATCTTGGTCCTGTCCACGTTTTTAACAGCTGAGCTAGATGAAAAGCACGTTGTTCAACAACACAGATTCAAGGCATCTTCTTTCTCGTTGAGAGCATTTGCATTGCACTTACAGGGTTAGAGTTTATGGTTTCTTTTGATTGGTCTTTCCCTGTATAATCTAATGTTATATGAGTTTGTCTTTAAAAAAAAACAAAAAACAAAAAACCTTGTCTCTGCCATTTTGATGTATTTCCTTCTAACCCTCATTTCTTGGTATCATTTAAGTGCTTATTTTATTATAAACTAATGGGATGAAATGATGCCTATTTTGTAAACTTGCTTTTTAAATAAAAGTTCATTTTAGCTCATAAAAAATTCCTGTCTCCTTGAATTTTATATCTGCTCATTCAAGCCCATCTTTCTTCTTTTGATTAGAACTCCACCTCTGGTTAGTTTCCTAGGAATCCAGTTGCTGACTTTCTCCAATAATTCCCCCTTTTCTGTAATTTCACAGGTACATACCCATAACCCTTACATTTAGAAGGCTAAGACAAGAGGACTATTGATGCTGGCCTGGGCTATATAACAAGACTATCTCAGAAAATAATTTAATATTTGAACATTTTATCATCTAAATTGAGCCAATTATTATCAGGGTCACTACACCAAAGTTTTCAGAGAACATTGGATCATAATTGTATTCTGTTTTGTATTAAAAATGGAAAATCAAAAAATATATATATTAATATAATATCAGTTTTCAATCTTATATACAATATACTGTACTAAAAGCTAAAATACAAAAATGAAATACAAAGTCTCAGTCAGTTTGTTTCAGTCAGTTTTCAATACTACAGGAGAGGCAGATAAACTAGCAAAAGACAGTTTCACCTTAGCTGATGTGCTGATAGTTGTAGGTAAGTTTAGAATGTTATTTAATGTTCAGACTTTGCTTTACTGTGTCTATAGAATGGGAATATTAATGCTTGATCCTATGGAATATGCAAAGTTAAATGAAAACATGTCAATATAAAATAATTCAAGACTCAGTAAATAGTAATTATATTCTAAGAGTTCAAGAAGTATAGTCCATGGAAACTTGAGGATGCCCAAGACCCATTTCAGCATATCCATGTGGCCAAGGTACTCATTAGAAGGCATTGCTGTTTCTTTCTCTATATTGATATTTTCATTGATTGCATAAAATCAATAATGGATAAGTCTGGTAATGATTTAGTATAAATAAAAATGATGGCACCAAACTATACTAATTAATAGTCATTGCATTTTTCTCCACCATATACTACTGTTAATGTGTTGGTGGTAGAGAGACAAATTTTACTCAAGAATTTCCTTGATGAAGCAGAAGAAATGGTTAACTTTATGTAATCTCCACCTCCCCATATCCATATTTTTAATATTCTATGAGACAAAATGGGAAGTGCACATGAGGAATGATGAGTGTCTCAATTAAGAATGCTGGTGTAACTCTTGATGTCAAACGAGTGCTTGTGCCTCATGGAACACCATTTTTTCTTAGAGTGGTAGACAATTGACACTTAAACTACAGTATCTGGGTAACATGGTAAAAGTGAAGTAAAGTGGAGTTTCAAAGCAACTGATTATACTTGTTATCAATGATAAAAGATTAAAATTTATTTTCTTAATTAGGTCTCAAAGTCCATTTTGCAATGCAATGTAGTCACATGTCCTGGGTATCCCGACATGGAAATCTTTGGAGGATAACTAATTTGCCTATCTAGATCACTGTGACTTGGGCATGATTAATAAACTTGAGCTGACATTTATGGAACATTCCACAAACAGCATCAGAAAACATTCTTTCTAAGTATATATGAACATTGATCAAAAGAGATCATGCTTGAGGGTCTACTATAATTCTCAGTACATGGAAAAAGGATTCACATCATATGATGGACATTCTATGGCCACAATTAGGTCAGAAATTAGCAATACAAAGAGAGCTTGTTCCTAACTAGCTCCTATAACTTAAATTAACTCATCTTTTTTTGTTAAACTACATTGTACTACATGGCTTTTACATCTATCACTTTCTATGTGTCAACTTGTTCCATGTCTGGCTGGATTCTCTGCCTCTCTTCTTCTCCTCATAGTACTCTCTGTGCCTGGAAGTCCTGCCTATCTTCTACTGCCTAGCTATTGACCATTTAGCTCTTTATTAAACCAACCAGAAGGTGCCTTGGCAAAAACACATCTTCAGTGTACAAAAAGATTATTCCACAACATGGATGCTTCCCAAAAGCTCATAGATTAAGAAGGGAGGGGGTGAACAACAAAAGAGTAACTACAAGTGTCTTGAACTGAGTGGAAATAAAAACATTTTAAAATTGGTATTTGGTTAAAGCAGTAATTATAGGTAAACTTATACCTCAGGCACACAGACAGACAGACAGACAGAGACAGAGAGAGACAGAAAAGACTAGATGGTTCAGCAGTTAAGAGCACTTGCTGCTCTTTCAGAGGACCTGAATTCAGTTTCCAGAACCCACATCAGGTTGCTCACAAGTCTTTGTAACTCCAGCTCCTGGGGAAATAATGCTATCTTCTTCTGACCTCCAAGGTTCCTGCACACAAGTATCATACACACACACACACACACACACACACACACACACACACACACACACC